CACTGCAAAAAGTAAACACTCTAAACAACACGAACTTAAACTGACGTGGAAACAAAAGTTCACACCCGTTATTTTCAGATGAATTTCCCCAAACCAACGCAAACATTGTCCCCGCTGATACATAAATTAAGAATGTTTGGAACAGTTAATGATGTCTTGTCCTTAACAAAGAAAATTTGTGATGTCATACCCTTCAACTTTCTAAGATCATCATCTAACATCGCTATACATTGTGTGGATGGTGAGGCTGTCATGGACGTAGTTTGTATGGAGACGGTTGCCGGTGATGGATGAGTGAGTGAGTGAGTTACTATTTAACGTCACATCGGCAATATTTCAGCCATATCGTGAAGAGAACATATTTGACATTGAAATGGAATATATGTATAAATACCTGTGGACGAAGGACAGTAAAACAACTAGAATATCACAATTACAACTAAAACCAGTGTGGAAAGTTAAAACTTATACCACTATTTGTACAATACAATATAAAAACAGGTTATATACAGCCAACAACTGAAGGTAGATCACCATACTAGGGACCATGGGGACTTACAGTACCTTTGTTACCTACATGGACCCTAGTTGGATTTACACCATTTCTTCAGCCGCTGGCGATTGTAGGAAATATGTAGCCAAGTTTAAAAGAACAAAAATACAACGTTTTAAAAATCCGGCAAGTTTAAAATTTAGCTTTGAAAGTTTTGGGACTTTGTGACTTATGAAGCTGTTGTATATGATAAGTGTGTTTTTAAAATCGGAAATACCGGAATGTTATGTGATCGCTCGTTAGATAAGTTTTGGAAAGCATCTCTCTGGAAGATGTATTGCAGACATTCGTGCATTAATTTCTATATATCAGTTCAATCTATCATCTTTGTAGTGTCCGGCGGCTCTACATATTCCATCATATATTGCAGACTGCTGATGAAGGTAAGAAATAATATATGACATATTTATTAATAAGAGTCTCGTTGTCTTCCGGGGCATTCGCTATTCAGTTTAAGGTCCTGTTCCTGCCCGAAAGCTATTAGTAATATACAGAAGACTAAACGGGACATAGTTTAGTATTTTGTTTATTACTCACCCAACATTATATAATAATATCGAGGAAAGAACTTTTTTCATATTAGAATTCAACGGGTGTGATGAGTCTCAGCTTTCCGCGAGTAAATCAAAGTCTAATACTATTGTTACAGAGGTTTTAGCATTGTGGCGTCGTAACCGTAAACCACTTTGACGTCATACGTCTGGCATCACGCGATGTTATTACACTATGTGTAATAACATTGTAAAACTATCAAACAGTGATTTCTTCAACGGGTGAGAATAAGTATCCTTAATGCTACAGGGGAACGAGAGTTAATCCGACTTAATTTTTTAAATAACTTAGTGTTTCATCTTGCAAACGTTGCGTCTCGTCAAAGTCTACAAGTTGAAATATGTAATTTGGTGAGGTGAGGTAAGATAGAGCTTGAGCTTCTTCTTGTTAAATATTGTTGCACTTGTATATCGACGTACGTGTCAGCTGGATATTGCAATTTTAAGACTCACGCACCTAAAGGTGGCGCTTTGTAATTTTCCTTGTTGCTTAATCATTTAACTTGACACAGTGACGTTCAGACTTTCACAACGTTTCTCTATCCATCTATTCTCGACTTTACGGTTGGAGGAGAAGGGGCGGTTTGGTAGCCTAGTTGTTAAAGTGATCGCTCGTCACGCCAAACACGGGTTTGATTCCCCACATTGGTACAACTTGTGAAGTCCATTTCTGGTGTCCCCTGCCGTGACTGGAATATTGCCTAATTCGGCGTAAAACTAAATTCACTCACTCGATTAGAAGGTTTTTGTGCTCATCCATTTTCGAGGCACGTCAGCGCATGTCAGACAATGCACCGGCTGAAACAGAGCCTACAAAACAGGAAACATGGAACTTTAGCCCTTTCTATACTCAGTCAACTCTTTAACACCAATCCATGTTATGCTCTGTAATCTGTGCTGGTGAGAATCGATGCTGAAGGACAAATTGGAACGTACATGGAGACAACAAATAACCAATGTAAATTTAATAAAAGGGAGAGCGCCGAGTGACTCAGTATAGCTTCACACATTGTGCACCTGGAGGGAATCGAACCCGGGTCTACGGCGCAATGGGTGAACACTTTAACCACTAGGTTACCCCACCGCCCCAAGTGTTTAGAGACACAGTTCAATGACTCCGATCTCACCAGTCCCTATTATATAACCATAACAAAAGCCGAACAGCAGTCAGGGTAACGACAAGCAACATTTGTAATGGATTTATTGCATTTGTTTGCGGGCACGGAATCAAAGCAATGGTCATTACCTCTCTGAGCAAAGACTACCAAACTACTGAGGTCGTCAAATTAGCATAGTTCTTCAGGCATACTAAGGTAACGGGAGCACTAGGATTATTACCAATTTGATCTACTAGAGGTGCCTACTTTTAAGGTAATGAATGCCTAATCCTTTGCTGTAAGAGGTGATTTATTTCATAGCATCCCATATCATCTGTTCCAGCCTCGATTTTTTACAGACCGTCGCCATATAGCTGGAATGTTGCTGAGAGCGGTGTTAATAAACAACAAACAAACAAACCAAAACAACATTTGGAAACATGGACCTTAGTACACATTATATTCTGCACAACTGGTTCTGAGTAACGTCGAATAAGTTCTTTCTCACCTATTTTTAACCACATCGAATATGATGTTCTCTAGTTCCATATATTTATCTTTCCATAAACGTCTGCTCGTTTGGTTGTTGGAATATTTCAGACATATCGTGGCAGTCTGTACAAAAAATCGAGACAATGTTGAAGTAGAAACAGAAAGGTTGCATTTATGTTTATGAATCCTTTTATTTTTACCATGTAAGTGGAAGTAAGGTAAACTGCCACATCATTTCATCCCCACACCACAGTGTTACAACGACTGGAAACACTGCAAATTGCCTTTCTGTTCTGGGAACAATTCCATGTCTGACAATCAGCACTTCAGACACTAACATGAGGTTTTTTTTCAAGGACAATGCTGAATATTTTAAGTGTTATACCTACATTGCGTGAATAAACGCAGTCGAAACTACTTGAATAAACCATCTGCATGGACAAGGAAACGCAATAGGGGCATATGGATCACCTCACTGCTCCTTTCAACTTCATACACTGTCCAACTTGTTCTTCCAAAAATGTGAAGACCAAGATAGATGGATTATAAATATGATGTGCTGTCTGTGTAACCTATCTGTATTGATCCTCTACGTTGTTATTGCTACTTTGAGATACAAATATCTCATCGTATCCTTTCTCCGTACCACCTACCACAAAAGGAAAACACTTAGGCTTCCTATTAACTGACTGACTCACTGACTGGGTTTGGTTTTACGCCGCTTTTAGCAATTTCCCAGAAACATCACGGCGGGGGGACACCAGAAATGGGCTTCACCCATTGTACCCATGTGGGGATTCGAACCCGGGTCTTCGGCGTGACGAGCCAACGCTTTAACCACTAGGCTACCCCACCGCCCCCGCTTCCAATTAAGCAATATGATATTATTCCACAAACTCTAATACTGGTAGGCTATAACGACATCACCTGGTAACCCATGGTGAATATGTATTGCACATATAAATGCAGGTCTTATCTTGGGATTGCAATAAGGCAGCATTTTTATCTTTACTCTTAAACTTTCAACGGGAACTATGGCAATTACATGCAACTTAGTTTTATACGCGATGAAGTGAACCTGTGAGTTTTACAGACCTAATGCCCCCATTTCACTGGGCTACGACCTATCAAAACTACCCAGACTAGTGCCGATTCGTAACCCACGATGTTATCGTTCTCAATTGGCCAGTTTTTGTTTATATATCCCTTTTTTACGCAGTATCTACGGTAAACCTACGTAATGGACGATGAAGTGACTGTAGACTTACGTATTAATGCCGGTAACACTGCGATTGAGCACCCGTTGTTGATACGATTTCACCCAGTATTGGCAGATTGGCTACGTTTAAATCACGTTTCTTCGGCGATATATCTACGATTCACTCCCGATTTCTCCCGATTTCTCCCGATGCTCGCCGACACAGTGATGTAAGGCTTACGATATCGAAGACTCATTGCCGTAACTTCCGATTACACGCGAAGATTACCGATCGACGCCGAGTAAAGTACGTATAATTGCCGAGTAAGACACGTAAAATCGGCCTCCAAACCACAGAAATGGTCCCGATTCTGGGTTATAAAAGCTGACGATGATATCTGATCCTTATTATTTAGCAACGTGCTCACAGCTGCACAACATATGAGATTGGAGATGCAGAAGGAACCAGGCACCAAGAAGAAGAATAAAACAGAAACGGTTTTGGGTACGTCCGTGGTTGTGGTTGGATAAAAGACTGCACTTTGAAACTATGACAATCTCCTGTCTGAACTCAGATTCGTAGACACGTCTTCTTTCTTAAACTATCTGCGAATACCTCCTGATATGATTGATGAACTGCTTAATTCCCTGTCTCCCAGGCTTACCAAAACAGAAACCTGCACCCTGGTCTGAAGTTACCATAAGGCCCCTAGCCTCTGGAGACAAGTACCCCTCCCTCTCCTACGACTTCCGAGTGTCGAGACACACCATAGACATCTTTCTCCTAGAGGTGTGCCAAACCATTGTAGACCACTACAAGGATACAGTGATTGGATGTCCTGTCACTCAAGGGAATTCTCCCTAGGATTCAGAAAGGGCAGAGTAACTTCAAAGAAAAGGGTACTTCATAATCTAAAAGGGCATTTTGGTGAGGATTATTGAAAAAATAACAATAACAAAATGTATATGAAGTCAAATGCTCTTATAATTTTATTCCTAAAGTTACTCTTCCCATTTTGTATTTTAAGATCAAAATTTTGAAAAAAGCATTTCAAGACATTAATCTGTTATCACATTTGTTTACAATTTCACAAAACACGCAAACAACAACAGTCTTCTGTTCTTTCTTGCCAAGTATCTGTTCACAACTTTCATCAAGTCAATGTCTGAAACTGACGATGCATTCAGGCTAATCATGAGAAGTCTGTTGCAATTTTGAACAGTGAGTCTGTTTCTATGATCTGTCACAATCAGTTTCACTTTTGAGAACACTCTCTCAACTTCAGAAGTGGACAATCACAGTTGCATGAATGGACAGTAATCAAGGTAATTGAACAATTTTTTGATTCAAGTTTCCAATTTGAGGCTTGAGTCTTCAAAATGGTGGAGGGTGAACTGGTGTCAAGCTCCTTTACTTGACTCCACTCAATCTGTGTTTGGTCGACATTAAGTCCATTTCTGCTCTTGGTGTTCCACTTAGAAAACATAATGAACAAAACTTCATTCCCTTCTTTTTGTCATCTTCTGATTTCCTCGACCAGGGACGGTTTTGTTGCCACTTTGTGTCAAATGCAGTCTTGTGACCACCATCTTTCTTCTTTGTTGGATTAACTGACTCTGTCTCGTGTGCCCTTGACTCGCGGCTTGAGTTTTTATAGGAAACTACCTCTGACTCGTCTAAGTCCAGTCTGAAAAAAATATATATACAAAGTTAATATACCATATTCAAAATATTCTTAGATATTACATTTGCAATCATAATTATTAAAACAAAAATATAACACAATAATACACCTAAACGTAAGTAATCTACTGTGGAGAGCTTCGAGAAGGATGTGGCTTCCAAATTGTTTGCAATCGTAAAATAGTTTTACTCCTTCAAGACTTCCTTTTTGATGAAATCGACACTAAACATTAAACACTAAAAACTAAAAACAAGGCTACCATGTTAAGCTGTTATGCAAGCTGTTTTAACTATTTCTTTTCCCAGGACAAACAGCAAAATAATTCAAGATCAATTTCAAATTGCCGATGGATTCAATTTCAAAATGGCGGACATTTTCGAATTTCAGATTTTCACCTAAACAGCACAGTCACATGAATATCGGTCCCCCAAACGTACCAAAATACATCCCATGTAGTTCACACATCGTTGTCTTTAATAAATGAAGGTTTTATTTGAAAGGCATGTGAAATGGAAAGGGAAATCAACGACCTAAAAATCACGAACTTAGAGGCACATACCTGTTAGGAGCGAAAAAAATCTATTAGTCAGCGACAATTCCTTGCTTCAACCTTCACCGCTTCTTCTCTTTTCCTCTTGATTCTTTCCTTGGTAGGCATTGTGATTTGTGAGGCGAATTAAACACCTTTGACTTCGCCATGGTTTAAATGCCAATTTCCTAATCATTATCAAAACAATTTTGCGCCTCTCCTAGAAAGGGACAGAAGTCCGTCCTTCATAAAATCCGGAAAATACACACGGGTTGTTGTAAAAGCAAGCACAGCTGAAAAAAACCCTGGGTTGAGGCGAAAGGGCAGGGCGCAAAACAAAAAGGGCAGGGCGCAAAAATCAAAGGTCAGGGCGCAGCGCCCTCCTAAATGTGCCTAGGGGGAACACTAGAATTGGAAGACCATCAGTCTGGAATTCGAGCAGAGTTGGAATCTCCCTCATGCTGTTTGTGCCCTCGATGGAAAACACATCGCGATTCGCAAGCCATATGGTAGTGGAAGCCTCCACCACAACTACAACGGTTTCTTCTCCATTGTCCTGTTGGCCCTTGTAGATGTTAGTTACAGATTTCTATGGGTGGACGTCGGAGGCCTGGGTCAAATGTCTGATCCACAACTCTTTAATGCCTCAGAGTTGAAGGAGTCTATGAAAGATGGCATCTTGCCCGAGCCTGAACCATTGCCAAAAGATGATCTGGATATGCCTTACTTCATATTTGCAGAGGATGCATTTGCCCTTCGTCAATATCAAATGAAACCCTACTCAAGAAGAGGTCTGTCAGAAGCTGAACTACAGGATCTCCAGAGCACGAGAGTCGTGGAGAATGTCTTTGGTATTCTTGCAAACCAATGGCAATTTCTTCTCAACATTTCGCAATAGGGTGGTGGGGTGGGTGATCTCACCCTCTTCCTGTTGGCTGTTCTCTTTGTTCTGGCCATCTTTCAATGTTTCCACTACAGCAGTTGAAATTGGAGTGACGTTGACTTCGATCGCTGGTGCTTTTATACCTTTTCTGTCTGTCTGATGTGAATCGTGCAAATCGTGAGTATGCGTGAACATTGCGTAAGTGGGAGAAATCGTGCTGAGGCGTGACTATGACAGTTCTGCTTTGTTAGGCAATTAGCTTGTCGGTACCATGTTGGAGATGTGTCGGCAGTTAATCATGGTTGAACGGGTGTGAAACTTGGCATTACGGGGATGACACGTGGCCGTTTCTGCCTCTCAATATTGGTACGACTCGTTCACGCTTCACCTACGGTTAAGCCGATTGCTCATGAGGTGTCACCCCATTAGTCATACGTCTCATTAGTCATACGCCTTAAATAAACACATGTCATGGTTGATTGCTCTTACATTATGAGCCCTTAGTACCTCTGTAGGTAAATGGAAAGACCCATATGAAACGAAACAAAAATAATTTAGCAAGATATTATTTATTATAATAACAAGTATAAATATATAAGTGTAAATAATGTCTTGTTCACACACTATAATCATTTCTTCAATACTTCTTCACAATATTGACACATTATTTAGCAGAGTGTTCACATCACGATTAAACATTTCTTCTGTACTTTTTCACATACAGAGTCAGTTTAGATGTCTGGTTGATACAAATACCCAGCAGCGTCCAGGAACTCCAGAGACGCTTCATGTTGATCCCATAGTCTGGCGAGCCTGTTCTCCTTCTTGCGATATACGCGTTTCCTGGTGCGTACAGCAGCTCCAAAGTCCAGCTGTGCCATCTTCACTGACTCGGACTTCTCGATTTTCTGGAATAGCTCGATGAATCTGAAGATGTTGGGGTGGCTGTGAGGCAGGGTCTTCTTCATCCGATAATGGAACCCCTCCAGATTTTTGTTCGTTCGGGGTCCAAGGTTGCGATGGTGAATGCACAGAGCGATGGGGAACTTGGCGTTGTTGAGTGGAGAAGTGTCACCCATGGCGTCGACCCAGGCATCCTGTACCTCAGCTGCAGGGAGGAGGGCTAGTGCTGAGGCTCTTCTTACTCATGAACCGACAGTCGTGTCTTCCCTGTACTGGACCGCCAGCCCCAGGTCTTGTACCTTCCTCCACTTGCTGATGTTGCTGATGAACTTCACAGCGCCTTGATCCTGGGGTCCGTGGTTGTGTGCAGTGCTGTTGCTGACATAGTTGCCAGTGGCTGTCACTCTGCCTCTGCAGCCTTTCACGACACACAACCAGTGAATACAATGTTCTTTTGTCGAATTCATGTTGTGTAGATGACCTTGAAACAAAACTTGTTGTGTACCTCGCCTTGATGTCACATATTCCACTTCGATTAAAACCTGCCATAATGATCAATAAGTAACGATTCTTCCATCTTAGGTCATATATAGGTAGTTAGTCAGTTAGTCTTAAACAATCTACAACATGAGTAGACACTAAGTTATAACAAATGGAGCATTTCCTTAAATTGACATAATAGTTTAATTCGAATCGGAAATGGAATGATATTCTTACCCCGCTTTTCTAAGAACGTATTCAAAATAATCGGTATGCAGAGTAGAGTATTAACTTATGTTTGACAAGCAGTTGGATCTCACACACAAAAGCGGGCGAGTCTATTATACGGTAGGGAGCATGTCCTTTGTTGTTTTAGTTAATCCGGTCCGTTCCGTATGACTAGTGGCCGTATTAGAAATGGGCGTATGACTAATGGGCTACAACCGCTCATGATGGATGCCGATGCATTCCTGATTAACTCCCGACACACTGGCGACTATCCCGATCAGTCACGCATAACTTACGACTTTTTTCAACCGGCTCATGTTTTTGAACCTATTCAAAAACATGGGCCGATTCAAAAATCACCTCCAGACTATGCAGACACACTCACGTATCTTGCTGATCTCTGCCGACTACTCCAGGTATATTTCCGACATTATACGATCGCTGGCGATTTTTGTAAAAAATGCAATCGGGACCGATCGCAGCCCAGTGAAATGGGGTATAAGCTACAGACATACAGAACGACGTTTAGAAGCGATACACATTAAGGCAAGAGTTTATGATGGTCAAAGACCTATATTTTAAGGGGTATGTTCTTTCTCTTTCACCTGGTGAATTAGAAAACTTGGAAACAGATCTCCGTTTATATGAAAAAAGCAACAGTAATAACATAACAAAAACAGAAGCGATTGACGTTTTCATGAATATGTTTCGTATTTTCTTCCTTTGTAGCCCATTTCTGGTGTCCCCGCCGTGATATTGCTGGAATATTGCTAAAAGCGGCGTAAAACTAAACTCAGTCAGTCGTTTGTAAGGGACCGAGCTTCCCAAAAATTACCTAAGAGCGTTCCTAATTTACGAATGAGGTGAGGTGAGGTGATATGGGGTTTAACGTCGTGCTTGAGAATATTTCGCTCATATGACGACGTGCATGCGATTGTGTATGTGTATGTGTGGCTGCTTGTACTAGCCCAGATTTAAGCTTGTTTTATAATGCTAGCCCACTGAGATACCATGCCGCAGTGAAGCATGAATACCCCACTCAGACACATTATACTGACTCCGAGCCGACCAGTCCTTGTACCCATTAATGCCGAGCGCCAGGCAGGGACCAACAAGTACCATATTTTAACGTCTTTTGGTATGACTGGGTCGGGGATCGAACCCGCGACCTTCCGCTCTCCGGGCGGACGCTCTAACCACTACACCACGGAGGCGGTCTCAATTTACGAATGAGGGAATAATAGTTGACAATGGTATTTTAGTAGAACTTGGTTTAATACCGTTTTGAACAGGATAACTATACTACATGTCAGCTGAAGGTGAAGTGATAAACAGAACAGGACAGAACAGAACACAGACTTTATCAAGACTTGAACCAGCTGTTTCCTCGTCTTGAAATCGCCAACAAATAAGTACATAAGTACATGGGCATGTTACAAAACGTGAGAACTTATCATTCGATTACAATGTATTAAATATTTACCTAATTTTACAATAGTTTTATTATTTTCACAGGCGAGTAATTGTACAAGTTTATAGACACTAGGGTTTTGCCAATAATATTTATTGATGTAATATTACCGTTCTTTAATATATCTGGGACAAGTAAAAAATAATGGTATTCGTCTTCTAGTCGATTAAGATTTTAAGATAACCAATGGACACATATTCTTTCTACCCTCGGTACAGTATGGTATCTCCCATCTTCAATATGTAAACTGATGTTCGAAAGAAAGTACACACCTGATTCTTTGGTAAAATATTTTCTTTAAAACATCATTAGTACTCAAAAAGTGTTTTAATTCTGCCTTGTCACAAACATTGTGCAAGTGTTTCCAAAACCCCACAGATATTGCACCAAATTATAACATTGCAAGCAAATTATTTATGGTTTTAATGGGAATAGTCCCCAAACACCAGGTGT